ATGGACTTGGCAGTGATAGGTTAATGGTTGGACTCGATGATCTTAAGGGTCTTTTCCAACCTTAATGATTCTATGATTCTATGAAAAGCTTTCAGTTTAGGGCACTTTTTCAGGGAGCTATAGCTGGTAGCATCCCTGTTAGAGCCGGGGTCTGTTAAGGGTTAGGGCGAGGGTGAGAATTAGCCATAGGTGCAAGAGAGAGAGCAGAGCCCCAGTATTTGTGGGGCTGCGAAGGAGCTGACGAAGGAAGGTGAGGGCTTCCAAAGCTTTCAGACCTGGCCACTTTTTCTAGGGAGCCATTGCTGGCAGAGTTTGTGATGGACCTGTACTCTGCCTAGAGTTGTGATCATGGTGTAGGTGATGGTTATGTGCAAGAGCAAACTCAGAGCCCCAGTGTTTGACAGTGAAGGGGCTGCCAAGGGAAGGTGAAGGCTGCCAAAAGTCTGGCCTTTTCTGTATGGGAGACATCACTAGCAGCTGTCAGTTTTCCTCGGCTCTTGCTAGGGTGTGAGTGTAGTTGAGAGTAAGGGTAAGGTAGTAGAGAGCATGTTCAGAGTTGCAGTGTTTATACGATGCAAAGGGGCTGTCACATGAAGGTGAGGATGCAAACAGCCCCACAAACAGAGCCTAGGTTCCAAACACAAAGAAGTGGCCAGGACTGAAAGCTGTTAGCAGCCCTTACCTTCCTTTGGCAGACCCTTCACAACACCACAAACACTGGAGATCTGTGCTTGCTCTACCACTTAATCCCCGCTTATGCATTCACCCTTCTCAGAGCCCTGCTCCAAAACGGACAGCCACCACCTAGAGTTCCCACACAGAAGTGGCCAGGACTGGAAGCCGTTGGTGGCCCTCACCTTCCCTTGGCAGCTCCTTCACTGTCAAACACTGGGGCTCTGCACTTGCTCTACCACTTAAACCTCATCTACCCTGTCAGGCTCACCAGAGCCTAGCTCCAAAACAGACACCTACCACCTAAGGTTCCCACATAGGTGTGGCCAGGTGTCGTGGTTTAACCCTGGCCGGCAACTGAACACCATGCACCTGCTCGCTCACTCCCCTGTGCTGGGATAGGGGGAGAACAGGAAGGCTAAAAGTGAGAAACTCATGAGTTGAGGTAAAAGCAGTTTAATAACTAAAAAGAAATAATAATTTTCAAAAAGCAATTTTAAGAAGAAGGGAAAAAATAAAAGAAGAAATTTAAAAGGCAAGAAAGACAAGCAATGCAAATGAAACCAGTTGCTCACCAGCAACTGACCGATGCCCAGCCAGTCCCCAAAAAGTGAGCTTCACCCCACTAACACTGCACATGCCCCCCGCCCCCCGCCGCCCCAGTTTTACTGCTGAGCATGATGCCATACGGTGTGGAATATCACTTTGATCAGCTAGTCCAACAGTGTTCCCTCCCAACTTTTTGTGCACCTCCAACCTATGCGCTGGCAGGGCAGTGTGAGGAGTAGAAAAGACCTTGACATTGTGTAAGCACTGCTCAGCAGTAACTAAAACATCAGCATGTTACCAACATATAGCCCTATGTTTCAACCTGCTATTAAGAAATTTAACTCTATCACAGCCAAAGCCAGTACATTCTCCACCCCTTATTCCCTACCGTTTATGTCATGTTCAAGTTCCACACTATTGCAATACATCCTCATTAACCACCCCTTCCGCCG